GGCCCGGGCTGGATTTGAACCCACCACCTTAGGTGTATGTGGCTGGTGCCTTAGCCACTTGAGCCACAGGTGCCGAGCCTATTATTATTATTATTTTTAAAAACACAATCAACTACATGTTAAAAAGTGAAATAACAATAGGTGACATTTATTAAGACTCGCTTGAGCCCAAGAGCTGGAGGTTGCTGTGAGCTGTGATGCCACGGCAGTCTAACAAGGGCTACAAAGTGAGACTCTGTCTCTAAAGAAAAAAAAAAGAAACATCATCACTATAGAGAATATATCTGAACTACAATATTACTTGCATATTATGTAACTGTTACATGACAGTGATGCTACTCTCAATTTCAGAATTGAGTCATGAACAATAAATATTAATTCCATGAAGCAAACCGAGATATCTGTAATCACTGTCAGTGAAGTATTAAGTCATATATTAAGTGAATGAATAAAACATGTAAACATCACATAAAGAACCTAAAGAGGCCAATGAACCGGCTCAGGCCTGTGATCCCAGCACTCTCTGAGGCTGAGGCCGAAGGATCCCTTGAGTTCAGGTGATCAAGACCAGGAGACCCAGTCTCTACTAAAAATAGAAAAATTAGCCTGAGCTTTGTGACAAGTGCCTGTAGTCCCAGCTACTCCAGAGGACAAGGCAAGAAGGATCACTTGAGCCCAGGAGTTTGAAGTTGCTATGACCTGTGATGCTATGGCACTCTATCTAGCCTGGGCAACAGAGTGAGACTCTGTCTCTAAAGGGGGAGAAAAAAAAAAAAAACCACTAAAGAAAATAACCATGAAGGTACTGACAGTGACTTAAGCATTATCCTGGAGCCAAGGACAGAGTAAGCAATCCACAGCATTTGTTAAACTGAACTGAAATACTGATTTAAACAGTAAATGTTTAATATCTCATTTTCCCTTTTGAATTTATAAGGGCTTTCAAAAGGACTATTTGAATAGTCAAGTATTTTTGTTTGTTTTTTTAAAATGCTACACAAAGAAATCTGAGCTGCTATCATTTTCTTTCAATACATGTTCAAACAACAAGTAGAAATATGCAAAATCATTTATATAGACCTCCAGCTGTATCCATATTATAGGTGATAATCCTATCTGTGGTTGATGATGGAAGCACCTTTATCACTTCTAAATACTAGCACTAAAATAAAATGGATTATTTTTCACCATCTTTATTAATAACTAGAAGCTGCCCAGTAATGATCCCATAATTATTATTTTCTAATGAATCTTACTTTATTAGCGCCTTCTCTACAGGTGTACGGGTTCTTTATAATTACTATGCCATTAGCATGTATTTCTTAATGACCATTTATGAAGCTGCCTAATGTGTCAAAATCACATATGTGATGCCTCCAGCAACAATTCCAAAAATAAACACATAAACATCCCTCAGTATCTGCAAGGGTGACTACTTGCAGTACTCCCCCTACTCCCTGCACAAAAACCAAAACCTGTAGATGCTCAAATTTCTTATGTAAGTTGGTGTAATATTTGCATATAGCCTACTCACATCTTTTCTTTTTTTTTTTTTTTTTTTTGAGACAGAGCCTCAAGCTATCCCCCTGGGTAGAGTGTTGTGGCATCACAGCTCGCAGCAACCTCCAACTCCTGGGGTCAAGCGAGTCTCCTGCCTCAGCCTCCCAAGTAGCTGGGACTACAGGTGCCCGCCACAACGCCCAGCTACTTTTTTTGGTTGCAGCAGTCATTGTTTTTTTAGTGGGCCCGGGCTGGAACCCGCCACCTTAGGTGTATGTGGCTGGCGCCTTAGCCACTTGAGCCACAGGCACTGAGCCCTCACATCTTTTCACACACTTTAAATCATCTCCAGATTACTTATAAACACGCAATACAATGTAACTGTTCTATACTCGTTACATCGCTTTAAAATTTTCATTATTGTTTTGGTGTATTTATTTTTCTCAAGTATTTTTGATGTGAGGCTGGTTGAATCCTCATATATAGAACCTACAGATAAGGAGAGCCAACTGTATTATTTATAGACAATCTTCCAAATAAATAAGTATAGTAAGGCCAGGGAGAACTGAGAGACTTAAGTGTACATTAGGAGGGATTAGATGAAGATAAGGTGAGAACTATGTTATTTGAGAAATAAAGTGCTTACTTGGATTTTACATTCCACAACTGTAGGCTTCCTTGTTCACTGCCCAGAAGTATTTTATTCAAGTAGGTACTTGGATGCAAAATGGCAGAAATTTTAAATATTGATTTATCAAAAGTTAATTGTAGGTATTCTTCTACAAAAGTAAAAGTTACAAATTATTTTTTATAGAATAGTTAAAATGTTTCACATACCCATTTATTTATCACTTGAAGTTTGTTTACCATATCAAAGATTTATATGCTAGTATAAATCAAAGACTTACATAAGTATACTAATCTATAAACATTCCTTGAGAAAAAAATGTGAGAGACAATTTATAAATGTAATTCAGACTGTCAATTCTACAAGTTCAAATATAAATACTATTAAAAGTTTCACTCACTGCCAATCAGTTGACCAAAAAGAAAAATAATGATCTAAATGAACAAGCAAGCAAACAAAAAACAGGTCAAAAGGCACGAGCAAATGCCAGCAAATGCCTGCACTGAGCTCTTCCAGAGAACGAAGAACAAAACATCTGAAAATTCAAGGGGTCCCTCAAAAAAATGGAACGTAAGAGGCAAACTGAAGCACCTCTAATAGAGAAGAGGAGGAGAAAGTATAACCCGTAGAGCAGGGGCTGGTACAGCCAGTAGCCACTCGCTGCAAAATAATTCTTTGACACCTCAGGTTATGACTAAAGTTCCTGTGTTTGAATTTTGTTTTTTATTTCACAGTTCATCCATGATGAAAACAATTTTTCACTAAGTTTTCCAATAAATCAAAGGCACACTTCATTTAATCTTTAGGTTCACATACTATTTGGCACACTGTTGCATATTCGCAGGGGTGGGGGTACCTCTGTTGAGGAAGCACAGATAGAGGTGAAAATCACACAAACTTTATGGTGAATGCTATTTTAAAAGATCCCTGCCTATATCCATAATTAGCAGTTTTACTCAAAGCCATTCTAAACAGTTCCCTGAAGACACTGGTTCAATGTGCTACTATTAACAGCCACAAAAAAGCTGGGCCATCACTGTCAAGAAAGAGCATGGTGACTCTAAGAACCAGACCCTATATTCTTTTACCTTTTAATATCCATCTGCACAGGGAGTACTTTTGAAACTTTATTCTCTCATCTTGAGCAAAGGTGCCAAAAAAAAAAAAAGTGTTTCTAATTTGAACCAGAACTTGGAGTAACTCTCAGGAAGGCAATCTTTAGGATGTTTACTAAAAATAGTCACACTGCATTGAACAGTAAGATCATCAAGAGGTAATATAAGCTAATAATATAAAAAGAATAAAGAACTTAAAAAGATTTAATTCGCAATACACCCAGTTTTTCACTGAAGAAAGTTGGGTATACTCTGGCATGTTATGTTTGAATATACAGAGTCCCATAAACACAGCTCTGTGCCACTGTGCAAAAATATCACAGTGAAGGCCAGGTGTAGTGGCTCACACCGGTAACCCCAGCACTCTGGGAGGAGAAAGCAGGAGGATCCCTGGAGCTCAGGAGTTTGAGATCAGCCTGAGCAAGAGTGAGCCCCTATCTCTGATAAAAATAAAAAAATTAGCTGGGAGGCTTGGCGCGCACAGCACAGTGGTTACAGTGCCAGCCATATACACCAAGCTGGCGGGTTCGAATCCAGCCTGGGCCAGCTAAACAACAACAACAACAAAAAAGCTGGGCGTTGTGGCAGGCGCCTGTTGTCCCAGCTACTTGGAAGGCTGAGGCAAGAGAATTGTTTAGGCCCAAAAGTCTGAGGTTGCTGTGAGCTTTGACGCCACAGCACTCTACCAAGGGCAACATAATGGGACTCTCAAACAAAAAAATTAGCGGGCACTGTGACAGGTGCCTGTAGTCCCAGCTACTTGGGAGACTAAGGTAGGAGGATCCCTTGAGCACAGGAATCTGAGAAAAAAAAACCACAAATGAGCTGTGAGCTACGCTGACACCAGGGCACGCTAGTCTGACACGACAGAATGAAATTCTGTGTCAAAAAAAAAAAAAAAAAAAAACAAGGAAAGAGAAAGAAAATGGGTACAGTGGCTCATGCCTGTGAACCTAGCACTCTGGGAGGCCAAGGCAGGTGGGTGGTCTGAGCTCAGGAGTTCAAGACCAGCCTGAGCTAAAGTAAGACCCCCATCCTAAAAATATCTGAACATCGAGGGAGGTGCCTATAGTCCCAGCTACTCAGAAGACTAAGACAAGAGGACAGCTTGAGTCTAAGAGTTGAGTTTGCTGTGATCTATGATGCCATGTCACTACCCAGAGCAACACATGAGACTGTGTCTCAAAAAAGAAAATAAAAGAAAAAAGAATATCACAGTTAAGGACACATCTCCTGAGGAAAAAGATGTATATTTTCCTTCATATTATAGGATCTTCAAGTTCACTAATAAAACCTCTTTTATTGAAAGTTTAAAATACAAACCAATAATTACTGAGAGGTAATTTACCCAACAGAGAAAACAATGTAACAGGTCGTTAAATTCAAGAGAACTGCAATGGAAAATGTATTGAGATAAGCAAGTTGAAGAGGTTATAAGTAATTAGCTAAAACTGTTCACCTTTCTTACCCAGAAAAAGAAGTTACGTATACATGTCAATTTTTTTTAACTGTTCACATGTAAAATCTCTGGTATGGAAGTTATGTTTCCATAGACTTTTAATTTTAACTACATACATATATCCCAAGATAAAGCAAATAAATTAGTTAATTCTTACCTTCTGAATATACGTGCCAAATAATGAGAATGCTGTCAGCATCAACAGAGATAACATGATCTCCAAAGGGCTGTAAAAGATGAATTTCTGCCTTGTGACCATTAAAGGTGCGTACTACCTACAATAAAGTTTAAAAGAAGTTCAAGTTATTACTAAGGCATCATGTTTTTTTTGTTTTTGAGACAGAGCCTCAAGTTGTCCCCCTGGGCAGAGTGCTGTGGCATCACAGCTCACAGCAACCTCCAACTCCTGGGCTTAAGTGAGTCTCCTGCCTCCGCCCCTCAAGCAGCTGGGACCACAGGTGCCTGCCATAACAGGACCCGAACCTGCCACCCTAGGTGCATGTGGCTGGAGCCCCAGCCACCTGAGCCACAGACGCCGAGACAAGTCATCATGTTAATATTATTCATGTTATTTAAAAAGCATGCTAATCCTGGAGATGCTTGTGTTAAGAAGTACAGCCCAATTTTTGACTACCCAAGGCGAGATGAACACATAAACAGCAAGGAACCAGGCATGTCCACCTGGTGCAGGTGCCAGCTGAACAGTAAGTAGACCATATGCTACAAAAACACAAATGAGACTTCTGAGGCTCAGGCTTTCTACTAAAGTAGAGAGAAGGCATGCACACACACCTACGTCCTTCATCCACTTCAACCAGTACAACTACATGCACCCTGGAGAGATGGTGGGGCTGATCTCTACAGATTCCTCAGCCAGCTGGCTTTCAGATGAGACGGAAAGGGGGGATGTAGGGTACCGCTTTCTGCTTTGACAGAGTGAACTACGCCCTTACAGTAACTGATCCCCTCCAAAACTACACTCCTATCTCCAGAGTTTCAGTTCTCATTGGGCGAATACAATTTCTCTTCTGGGTCCTATGGCCCCACAGAAATAACAACTTCTCACAGTTTGAGTCTGTGATGCCTCCCCCCTCCATTTACTTCATTTCCCTAACCCTTACCAAACCTGTGCAAACAGTTCCTTTACAAAGTCTCCGCATCTGAACCATATATATTTCCCAGGGAAAACTACAAAGGACAATACAAAAAACAGACAATATTTTCCCTGACTCTCGAAAAATCCAAACAACTTCCATTAAGGAACTCCACAGGTACGCCACTTTCCTGCCATAGGCAGCGATGATGGAGGACTGTGGAAAGAAACCTCATGCTGAGTCCCTGACAAGTACAACGTACTACCACTGGCTATCTGAGCATCACCATTCTCACTTTCCCACTCATTCTAGACTACTGAGCTCTTGGGTTTGAAACAAGCCTGAGCAAGAGGAAGACCCCGTCTCTAATGCCATGGCACTCTACCGAGGGCGACAAAATAAAACTCTGTCTCAAAAAAAAGAAAAGAAAAGGAAAGAACTGGTAGATGCATAGCAAAAAAGATCTCTCCTCAGCAGTAGAGAAAACACAGACTCCCCAGAGGGAACAAACACCTGGTTTTTAGAAAAAGAATTCGGGCTGAGTTGTACACAATGAAAAAGCCAACCCATATAAAGCAGTGATGCAAATATGAATATCCCAGGAGAGAATTTTCAAAATATACCTAACTAAGTCCTACCTCACCAAATACACAAAAGAGAAAACTTCCAAGATTAGACCTGACTGTGCATTAAAATTTTGAAGCTGCCACCCAAGTAATTCTAACACTCATTTCTGGTAAAGAAAACTGAAGTAAAGCATCAGTTTTAACTGAGGATTTTCAGCTGAATGCTAAAAGTATCTCTTCCATCAGAATTTCTCTTCCAGAAAACTAGATATACAGTGGAAAAAGAAAAACACTGTAAATTTCCAATGTCCAGATAAAGAATGTCAAAATCAAGTTCCCTCCACTATCTTGATAAGCAACTACCAACTGCACGAGACAAACAAGTCAAAAAAAATAGTTCAGTGACACAAACCTCTTTATTACGGGCAAATGCAGAGAAAACATTCCCATAAGCAGCAAAGACCAGCCTGCTGTCAGCAGCCATACAGCAGATATCCTGTGGAACAGAATTACCTAGGAGAAAACATAAAAGAAAGGATGATTTTTTACATCTTAGACAAAATAAGCCTCAAATACAAACATTTTTCATGGCCACAATTTTAAAATATGTATCTATTTAAATAAAAGTTGACAAGCACTATAAAATTTTAACATTAATTTTAGAAGTAAATCAAAAATTTTAGAAGTAAATCAAAACCTAAATCTCTAATTCTATCCTTTGGATCAATTAAAAAAAACAACAACATATATTGATATTCTATATGCCCAACCTTAAAACATTTAAAGAAGGGCAGCACCTGTGGCTCAAAGAAGTAGAGGGCTGCCCCCATATACTGGAGGTGGTGGGTTAAAAAGAAAAAAAAATTTAAAGAAAACATGGTTTCCATTCAGTCTTCTCCAAGGCAAATATGGTTATCAGTTCTAGTTTTGTTTCATATGACATGATTTCCCGATTCCTCTCTTACTACCACTCTCATCCCTTTCTTTTTATTTCCTCTTTTGGGGGCAGGAGTTTTATAGACAGGAGCGTCTTAGGTATTTTTCCTGCTGCACATTCTGTAGTGGGATTGTTTCCATACTATTTTAAAGGGTTATCATTTACTTTTGTATTCAACTTAGGTTACAGTGTCTTCCTTCTGCCTCCTACTCTTTTTTAAGTTAAGGTTACTAGGTATAAACACTAGATTCCTCACAGGTGTCCTTTGCTTCTCTCACAAGGATCATATTTGATGGTGAGAAAAGAACCTCTCAGCCCAGAGATGCCCTTTATTCTAGGAACAGTTTTTAAAAAATAAAACTTCCCATGGAAAAAATACCAAAATGTGTGAAAAGAGAAAACTTTTCCTTATAGTAGAAGGAAAGATGGAAAAAGAGTATTACCACAAGTTGAGTATCCCTTATCCAAAATGCTTGGAATCAGAAGTATTTCAGATTTTGAATTTTTTCAGATTTTGAAAAAAAAAAAAACCAAAAAATCCAAAATTCAAAATGTTCTATAAGCAATTCTTTTGAGTATCATGTTGGTTCTCTAACAGTTTCAGACTTTGAAGCATTTCAGATTTCAAATTTTCAGATTAGGGATAGATAATAAGCCTGGATTTGGCAACCAAGGATGGCATCAATAACTGATTCAGGAAAGGATCAGTAAGTCCTAGAAGCAGCTGGTAAAAACTGTTAACAACACGAGGATAGTTACACAGTTTCAGTGCACATTACCACAAGACACTTATTAATCACAAAGGACAAAATAGTAACTTTAGAATGAAGCCTCCTGAAAGATGCCACCTTACCCAAACGATGAACTGTCACTGCTAGGAATAAGGCAAACCAATAGTATGTGCCTCCTGATGTCATTTACTGTGATTCCTGCCAAACTGTATCATCTGAATCTAACCCTAAAATGTCAAAAAAGGCCTCAAACTGAAAGACATTCTAAAGTAGTCTGTATTCTTCAAAAATAAAACTCAAAGAAAATAGGAAGAACTATTTCAAGTAAAGAAGATAAAAGAAACACGACACTGAAAGCAAAACACGATCCCGCCCTAGATTTCTCTCCCTCTGTCTTTTTTTGATGTGTAAGTTAGTGAGACATATACACTAGATTCCTTAAGTGTTCTGTAAATCCCAAATTTATGAAAAAACTGAAAAATTTCAAAAAATACGAAACATGCATAAATTCAGAATAAAGTTCACACTTACTTACTGCAACCAGTCTAAGTTTCTGAACCTGCTTAAAAAAAGAAAAAAATGGTTAGTCACTAACAAAAACAATTATAATAACCTAATACTTCAAGATTAAGATATAATCTAATGAATACATTTACTATGCGGTCCTTCCTAGATCCTAATTTTCTTTAGGAAGCTTATAATTTTGTACTATTTTATTATGAGTAACAATGGAAGGGGCAGGCAAGCATTTTCTGTGATGGATCAAACAATAAATTTTAGGCTTTGAAAACCACATGGTATCTGTTACAACTACTCAACTGTAGCATGAAAATAGCTACATACAATATATAAACAAATATGCATGGCCGTATTCCAAAAAGTTTTATCTATGGAGACTTTAATTCAATTTTCACAGAATTTTCATGTCATGAAATATTTTCTGATTTTTCCCCAACCATTTAAAAATGTCAAAACCACTCATAACTCCTGGGTCATACAAAAATAAATCGAGGGCTAGACTGGCTTGCAGACTGCAATTTGCTGACCCTGATCTACGATTACTAATCCAGCTCTGTCCTAAGGATTCCGCCTCTCTCTTCCCACCTATCAAGGGATTCCCTTTTTGCCCTTTGCTTTCTCAGCTTTTCCCTGTTATATTTTGCCGTCTCTGAGTAACTCAAAGTTATTTAACCTTCCCATGGTTCAAATTCCTCATATATAAAATAGGGACTAAAACATCCTACTACTTTACCCACTTTATGTAACAGTTACGAGGATTCAATAAGGAAGTTTGTATAAAACAGAATGGCACAAGTCATCTAGTAAATGTCTAGCAGTTACTACCACCATTGCCTATTAATAACTTGTCTAGTTTCTGCTGTAATTTATTGGAAATCTGAGTAGGAACAATAAATAAAGCCACAGAAGCAGATAAAGTACTTGTAAACCAAATTAGTCACCTGGACTCATCAGTCCTTATTTTTTTACTCCAAAGTTACTTAAAGTTTCAGAGGTCATAGCCCAATGCATTGCCTGATGTGGGGCATTTACATGCCATGATATGATTAAATTTTTTTAAAAAAGCATCACCATTGGTTAAAACTAGAGGGGACCTTAAAAACTGTTTCAAAGCACAGATCAATAAATGGTTAAATTTTTATAAAATGTTCAAATGTGTTACTCTAACCACAGGATTTTTTTGAAAGTAGCACATAGGGAGAAATTAGTGTGTATAAAACTGTGTCAGAAAAACACTGTATCAAAGATTTTAAGAACTCTTTAAGTGAGAAACTTAGAAAAGTTAACATTTTAAAGGACATACTAAGCAGCAAAAGTCAGCAAAGGACAAATGCAGAGAAAGGAAACAATAAATACTCCCACAGGATTAATGGTATTCATTCTAACCCATCCTTTCTCTACTACCAGCCTTGGCTTCCAGAAACCTAGTTGCTCCTCACCTCCGCCCTACCCTCACTTTCCTCTTCCACTAACTCAATTGGCTCCCAATTCCCAGCTCGTCTTGCTAATAACACAGTCAATAACGATGATCCTTTATGGAAGACAACTCTACAGCATGTTTTCCAGAAGAAAAAAAAAAAAAAGACTTAACACTGGCCATTATTATCCTTCAGGTTCCTGCTCCCACAAAGCTTACTTTCTCTTGGAGAAGACAAAGAAACAAGTAAACAACAAAAGACTATTTCAATGACTGATGAGCAATTAAAGGAGAAAAATCATCACTAACAAGCAAATAACTTAATTTTCCTGAGACTTACTTTTCTAGTTTATAAAAAGGTGCTACAAGATGACACCTGCCTTGCAAAGAAACTGCTGCAAGGCTTAAAGTGACACTCTATGTTGGTTGAAAATAGACATATTTGGGGCAGGGCCCACTGGCTCACACCAATAATCCTAGGACTCTGGGAGGCCAAGGCAGGAGGACCCCTTGAGCTCAGGAGTTAGAGACCAGCCTCTACTAAAAATAGAAAAATTAGCCAGTCTAGGGGGCGTGTGCCTACAGTCCCAGCCACTTGGAAGACTGAATCCAATCTCTTGAGCCCGGGAGTTTGAGGTTGCTGTGAGCTATGATGGATGCCATGGCACTCTACCCAAGGCGACAAAGTGAGTGTGAGACTCTATCTCTAGGAAGCAAGAAAGCAAATAGATACTCTGGGGAAGTTTAAGGAAATTGGATTGCTATAAGAAATGAAGCCTCCACTAAATCATAATTTCATTCTGTCCAGTTCTTAGTATTTTAGTCTGAATTTCTAACACGACTTGTTAGAAACTGTGTTGCCAATTAAGCAATAAAATACCTTACAAGTCTGTCTTTCTCATTAAGAATGTTAAGAGGGGAAAAAATGTAAGGGGCTTGTCTTAATCACGTTTACATCATCAATGAAAGGTCAATAAATATCTATTGAACAAATATCTTGCTATATAACTGAGATGTTCTCTAGTAGTTTTCCCTTAGCCAGGCTATCTCTGAAATTCGGCCCAGGTGACCTGCAGGGGTTAAATCGGCACGTGGATGTGCGGAGGTAGCGAAATAAAACAGAGGAAGAGAAGGGCAAAAAGGGCAGGTGGGAGGAGACAGAGGTGATCTCAGGACAGAGTTGAGGGCCGGGAGGGAAGTTCACTGGAAGCGGGCGAAGGAAAAAGTCACTCACGTCATATGTATGGAAACTCTTGCCCACGCAGGTCGTCACATAGAACCGGCGCTTAAGCGCGCTGTACCGCACCACGTGTGGAATGTCGTTGCTGAAAAGCCCCAAGGCTCGGAACCCAGCGAACAGCGCACTGGCCGTGCGGCTTTCGGGGCCCGCTTCCATCTCCTCCGCTGTCCCGGGTCCTCCGTGAGGGCGCTCTAAAGGAAACCATGCGCCCAGCGGCTTCCGCGCGTCTCGTGGAACAAACCTTTGCCGGAGCTAGCGACTCCAGGACGCTTCCGGTGCCCGCTGCCAATCGCGTCTCCGGAGACTGACCTCGGTGCAATAGATAAAGTGCTCCCTCCGGAGCTCGTAGAGGAGGTGCAACTTCTGTTCCGTGGATCACAGTTTCCTATCACGTTCTTTGCCAAGTTCTCCGGCTCTGAACGCTGGAGAAAACTAGTCGCACTCAGGCGGGACCTTAGGGAAGCAATGAGAGCCACGTCCGGGAGAGTGGAGGAGAAACGTGATACTGTGGAAAAAAGTAGAAAAATCAGCTGGACACAGGGACGGGCTAGTAGTCCTAACACTGGAGAGGCTGAGGCAGGATAATTGCCTCAGTCCAGGAGTTTGAGGTTTTAGGGAGCTATGATGAGGCTACTGCACTGTAGCGGGAGTGATGGAGCAAGACCGTCTCCCGCTCTCTTTTTTTAAAAACTGAGTTTGTTTATACTGAAATAGACTGGAATACTAACAAACTGGTATTTTTTAAACTCTGAGTTATAGAAATATAAACAAATGATTTTAACTACTAGATATATTTTAAAGAGCTTTCTAAATGGCATATAATGCCAATGTTGATTTTATAATCAGAAATAAATACTTTTGGACACATTGGTAGTTTGGAGGGAAATTTTTTTAAAAGTTTCCTATCCTGGAGTTCACAGTATACAAAACTAGTGACACCCATTATCTTAATATAATTCTCAAAATAAGTTGTGAGATATTTAGAGTAAAAAAATATTGCTGTTTTATAATTGAAGAAACTGATTCATTGGGTTTAAGTGATTGGTCAAAAGTTCCAAATTTATTTAGTGCCCAAATGCAGACCAGCACAAGATTTAGAAAAGGAGAAGAAAGGGAGGTCACTGAAGAACAACTGGAAGATGGGAGAAATATGCATTCAGCAATCTCGTTTCCAAGACCAAACATTGGGTCATATGATGGGTGTGGTTTCACATTAGATGAGGAACCTGTGGTTCCCAAAAGTTATCTAACTGTCACTTAAGTAATGATGGCTTAGCAGTTTGAATTTAGGACTATCTGACAATTACATCTATGTTTTTTGACCTACAGCTGGACAGTGCAGAAGTTTTGAAATGAGAACTGTCATAGAAAATCTAGTACTATGGTAGCAATAATTATGCATGTTACTGTTGTTCTATAATCTTTTGAAGAGAGAATGTTACGGGCTGATTTTGAGTTTTCTATTTTCACCAGTTGGCTAGAGTTAATTTCTCCCCACCACTGTCTCCCTGAGTTACTATTCAGCTGCCAGCAAAGTGTGTAAATACATGATAAGAGGAAAGGAATCAGCAATTACCGTTTAATTAGAGATGCCACTAAGGATACTAGTATCAAGTTAGAATTTAAAAAGCGGAGGGTGAGGGTCTAGGAGGCTGTGGTGGACATTATTGACAAATGATCATTTTCAATTCAGTTCAATGCATTGGGGCTCCAGGTAAATGAAATATATAGCTATATCGTGTTGTCATTTTGAGCTTTAAAAAATTTTTTTTTAAATTTTTTTCTTTGCAGTTTTTTGGCTGGGGCTGAGTTTGAACCCACCACCCTTGGCATATGGGGCCAGTACTCTACTCCTTGAACCACAGGTGCCCCCCCCTTGAGCTTTTCTTTTAAAGGCTTAAATCTGACTGTTTCTGACTGTTTTTTTGCTAATGACTTTGTGTACTGTGGTAGCCAACCTTCAAGGTGGCCCTTGGTGATTCTTGCCTCCAATATTCATGCTTTTGTGTAGTCTCCTCTCACACTGAATAGAATTGACCAGTGTTGCCAAGCTAGATCAGAAAAGACAATGAATGCATCTTCTGTCTTGCTCCTTGTTGGATCACTTGCTCTGAGAAAAGTCAACTGCCATCTGGTGAGGATACTCAAGTGGTCTTATGTAGTGATTTGCACCACAAGGAATGGGGGCCTCTGCAGTTAGGATTCATTTTCACACCAAACAGTTGAGAATGGGACACTGTTTTATTGTGCAGATGTAATGTGGAGTTCTGACTTATAGTACCAACAAACACTATTATATACTAATGCAAAAACATTCAGATTGCCCAAATTTCACTTGCAATGTTAGCTTTCATTCACTGGCAAATAATTGGTTGTTAAATCAATTTAACGTATAGGCTTAGAGACACTCCAGGGAAAATAGTAAGTAGTGTTAGCTATAAATTTTAATTTAAATAAAAACTTATCTCAATTGAAATAAGAATATCATATTTTTAAGGCTCTTCCTATAATGACTACCTAAACAACCTTCTGTTTTGTTTTTCTTTCTGCCAGTTTTGAAAGAAGGAAATATTAGATAACAATATAATATCTAAAATTGTGGGTAGGGTATACTCCCAAAGTTGGAGATTACTGTAATTGTCACTTAAAGTAATTAGAATTTGGAGTATCATAATTTCCAATTCTAAATGCTCATTTTTCTTTTTTTTTTTT